TCAATGGTGTTGCTGACTGTAATAGTTGGGGCAATAAACTATCCTGAGAACTAAGGGGTTACAATAGGGTTATTTGCTTGCTCTCTGCATTGGCTTAATACTGCAATGTGCGTTGTTCCTGTTTTCTTGAATTTCCACCGATATGACAGAAGTTGTTTTTTCTTTTTCTCTCCTACCCTAAATGATCACAAAGCAACCAAACTCCAGCCAGTTCCCTCATTCACTTTTGATATGGCAAAGCCACCATGAAGTCATTTTACCCTGTCAGTTTCCATTGTGGAATATTTTGTCTGAATGCACCCCCATGTGGTGACTGCCGGTATTTATGACCAATCAGGAGCTTGATAATTAACAGTTTCCCCTCACCCTAGGTACACGGGAGTCCATGGGGTGGCCTTACAATGGTTTACCTCATTTCTCTGTGGTTGGGGACAGAGGGTGGTGCTAGGGGAGAGGGTGTCACCTGGGTACCCCTGGTGTGTGGGGTTCCCCAGGGAGCAGTCCTCTCTCCGATGTTATTTAACATCTATATGTGCCCCCTCGCCCAGCTGGTGCAGCGTTTTGGGCAGGGGTGTCACCAGCATGCTGATGACACCAAGCTATATCTGCTTCTGGACGGCCGCCCGGATACCACCCCTGACAATCTGGCCAAGGACCTGGAGGCCATGGTGGGGGGGTTAAAAAAGAGCAGGCTGAGACTAAATCCAGTAAAGACAGAGGTTCTGTGGCTGGGGGCGGGGAGCTTTGGTGTTGGGGCATAGACTTCCCACTCTTGATGGGATGCCATTGGTGCTGGCGCCATCCATCAGGAGTTTGGACGTGACTCTGGATGCCTCCTTAACTATGGGGGCCCAGGTCATGAATATTGCCAGGCCAGTGTTTTTCCATCTACGCCAAGCTCGGCAATTAGCCCCTTTCCTGTCGCACCCCAGCCTAGCCACTGTAATCCATACAACGGTCACCTACAGGCTAGACTACTGTAACTCACTCTACGCTGGCCTGCCCTTGAGACTGACCTGGAAGCTTCAGCTGGTCCAAAATGCTGATGGACAGTACATATACAATCTATGCTGCGCCAGCTACACTGGCTCCCAGTTGAATACTGAGTCCGGTTCAAGGTTTTGGTGTTGACCTTTAAGGCCTTGAGTGGTCTGGGACCTGCGTATCTTTGGGACCAAGTTCTCTGCTATGTCCCCGGGAGAGCATTACGCTCTGCTGAGAATAATCTACTGGTGGTCCCTGGCCCTAAAGATTTCCAGCTGTCCTCAACCAGAGCCAGGGCTTTTTCGGCCCTGGCTCCAACCTGATGGAACTCTCTGCCAAACACCACCAGGGCCCTGCGGGACGTAATGCGATTCCACAGGGCCTGTAAGGCAGAGATGTTCCGCCAGGCTTTTGGTTGAGGACAGCAATGGTTCCATCACAGCCGGCACCCTCCTCCTCTTTTTTCTTTCCCCCATCCTCGCTTTGGCCCTCTCCTCGCCTGCCTGCAAGACAGCGACACAGTCCAGAGTAGGGTAACAAAGGAATGTCTGTTGCCATCTGAGATAATGTCGTCGATTTTCAGTTTTTGCTTTTAATTCTGTTTTTAACGGTTGTACATCGCCTAGAGCCTTACAATGTAGGGAATAGGTGATTCATAACTTGAATAAATAATAAAATATAATCACATAGGGCCCAGTCCTAATTTCAGCCAAGTGAAAGTGACAAAATAGTCTTGGGCTTACTGTGTTGCAGCAAAACCGATGGGTGCCAGCTGCTGATGCTTGCTCTCAGATCACCTCTGGACCCATGCTCTTAAATTCCAAATTAGCTTAAAACGCTACACTTTAGGATAGAACTACACATTATCCATCACAGCCGGCACCCTCCTCCTCTTTTTTCTTTCCCCCATCCTCGCTTTGGCCCTCTCCTCGCCTGCCTGCAAGACAGCGACACAGTCCAGAGTAGGGTAACAAAGGAATGTCTGTTGCCATCTGAGATAATGTCGTCGATTTTCAGTTTTTGCTTTTAATTCTGTTTTTAACGGTTGTACATCGCCTAGAGCCTTACAATGTAGGGAATAGGTGATTCATAACTTGAATAAATAATAAAATATAATCACATAGGGCCCAGTCCTAATTTCAGCCAAGTGAAAGTGACAAAATAGTCTTGGGCTTACTGTGTTGCAGCAAAACCGATGGGTGCCAGCTGCTGATGCTTTTGCTCTCAGATCACCTCTGGACCCAGGCTCTTAAATTCCAAATTAGCTTAAAATGCTACACTTTAGGATAGAACTACACATTACATTCAACATGAGATTGCCACCTAAAAAGACATTCCCATGTTGACTTATTTCCTCCTACATGATGTATAAAACCATTTACCCCGTTTTGTGATTTTATTCATTAAAATATTTGCATTACACCTTTCTCATATCAGAGAGGGATCCAAACGGCTTACATCAACATGTGCCAAAAATAAGTACAGTGCAAAGACAAAGCCAAAAACAGTAGCATCAGAATCCTAACATAAACCAGAATCTATATCTCTAACAGCCAAAGGTCCCTCTGCATGTGGATACTTATTTCCCACAATCTGGGCCACATGGAGGGTGAACAGATATTTCAGCAAATTTGGGGCACTCCCCAGGTTTGCAGAAGAATCTAAAATGTTTTTTAAAGTATATGGGGGAGACATGCACAGAGAATGGACTTATTGGAGGTGCAGGAAAAGCCGCTGGAGGCGCAAGGGAAGCTGTCATGGCAATAACTGTCCCCACCACTGCTAGGGCTGCAGCTTCAAGAACTGTCCATGCTGCCACGGACCACTGGGAAAAGACACTGGAGACACAAGGGAAGTCTCCATGCCAATAACCGTGTGCCCCGCCACCAGACCCATCCCAGCCATTGTCAAGACTGCCGGCAACGAAGAGTAGGGCTTCAGCCACCAGGTTTGGGCACTCTTGGGGCGGGAAGGTGGCCGGGTGGCCAAGGGAGCCAAAGGGGTGGCAACATGTCTCTGGGAACCAGCCCGCCTGCCCTCTGCTGCTGCTACCCAAGTTGGCCCTGTGGCCGGTCAGCTGAAGCCCGAGGAGGCAAAGCCTGCATCAGCCCCCTCCTTCCTGCAACCAGATTGCTGCAGGGGGTAAGCGCTCTCAAATGGGGATTTTGCTGACGTGCACGGCTGCAAAGGGAGAGAAACAGAAAGAAGTGGGGTTCTCTGAGGGGGTGGGGAGAGAAAGAATAGGGGATTGTCTGTTGAGGGGAAAGAAAGAAAAAGAATGGGAGATTGTCTGAGGGAGGGGGCGAGGAAGAAGAAGAGGGGGAGATTGTTGGGGGGTAGAGAAATAGCGGAGAGAAAGAGAGGTGCAGACGGAGAGCAGGTGGGGGAAAGAGGACATTGTCTGAGAAGGGCTGGGGTAAGCGAGGGGTGAGACATACAAGGGGAGAAAGGGGGTAAGAAAGGATTGCTAGAGGAAGGGGGTAGGGAGGATAGCTGACATAGAAGGGGTGAGAGGAGAAGGGGAGGTGAGGGCACATTGGTAGATAAAGGGTGCATGGAGAAAGGCAGAGGAGGGAACTTTGGGTGATTCTACACTAGACCTGAAATCCTGGTTCAACCCTGTCCCCTACACTACACTACACTACACTCGAGTTCACCCCTGTAATTATCTCAGGGTATTTTTTGTTTCCACATAACACTGAGGTCACCCCGGTTTTGCCCCACACTTGTCCCAGGAAAATCAGATGCTGCGATAACCAGGAATAAATGCAAGGTATTGTGTCACGAGTTGAACTCTGATAAAACCAGGGTTGAGATCCAAGTGCGGAAAGGACCTTTGACAACCAAGGTGGGAGAGGGAAAGAAAGGTGGGGGAATGCCTCATCTCCACAAGTTCCTTGCGGGGACTGCAACCAAGGTGGGAGAGGGAAAGAAAGGTGAGGGAATGCCAGCAACAAAGACTATGGTAGGGCCAAAACACATTATGCAACATTATGCAAATCAGCCATTTTCTCCAGTGGAACTGATCTGTGTTTGGAGATACGTTGTAATTCTGGGAGATATCCAGGCCATTCCTGGAGGTTGGCACCCCTTAATGGGACAAGGGAATATCCAAGAGAGACTACCTAGGAGACGGGAGATGGTGACGCAATCAGTTGTGTGTTCACCCATGTCAATTCCATATTGCTTGTCAATGGGGCTGGGAATATTTACAACACCGTTCCATAACACTATTTGGTAAGTGATCCTTCTGATTATGTCCTGCCCATGTTCGTAGTAGCCTTCTGTTAAATCTACAGGCAGTCCTGCCCTTATTCATAATATGTTCTTGACCAGAATAATGGTTTGTACCAAATCTAACTAACAGCAGCAACAAAAATGCCCCTTCTTTGGAAACACTACTTTAAAACCATTTAAAGGGCTCTTATTGCTGTACGTATTTTCACTGTATCTGATCACAGTTTAAAGGCGTAGGCTGCGCTAAGTGATGAGCTCAGTAATAGAGGCACTTTCCAATTCCAAATAAAAATGCAAACCTTTAATGACTTCTGCTGAGAGCAATTATTCTCCCAGTCTTTATATCAGCAACAGCAGCAGTTAATCAAACATACACATTACTAACGGCCAGTCTTTGGAGAAATGAGCTGTGCAAAAAATTTCAAGCAAACACGGCCCAACTGTTCTTGCAGCGGTTATATAAGAATTTATTTAGCATTTGCACACCTCTGCTCATCATCTGCTGGAGATCAGCACATCCCTCTTCTCCCTCCTTTTAATTTAATTTAAACAGCAACCCCACACTCACACCCACAACTCTCCAAAAATGGGTAGGTTCATGCGTCTTTTGCAAAGAGTCACATGTTTTAGAATGGACAATATAAAAGCAAAACCAACAGTCACAAAGCACTTTAATCTCTGTTAACAGTTCTCCTTCCACGGTTTTAATTCGGCTGCTTAAGCTACGGAGCAAAGGGGAAGTCGTTTCACTCAAGGGACATTTTTTAAAACCGGTTAAGATGGATCTCCTCCATAGGAACGGAGTGCTCATAATTCAACATTTGCAAAAGGATTACAGGTCTTACCAGCATTTTTTAAATTTTATGTCACACATTGGAGATCCTCGGAATATTTTTTTAATTTATTTTCCTCTCTGGTTCCAGCTTAATCCAGCGGTCGGTACAAAAATGATATGGGTGGCAGTCATTGGTGATTGGTTCAATCTTATATTTAAATGGTAAGGTTAGTTGTTTCTTTGGAAACCTAATGGAATTTAGGATATTCGGCCTTTTAATATGTTGGCTTTGAATGAAGAGTCCACTGTTCTTTCTTTGAGATCGCATCAAGAAAATTTTAAGAATTCGGTTTTAGCAAAATATGGGTGTTTTTCATTGAGCAATCATGCAAGAAGAACTGAAATGTCTAAAAATGTGCCAACTTTGGCTTCTAAATAGTGTCTTGAGATGTATGTGTTCATAAAAGAATGTGTTTTCTCTGCAGGATTTTATTTGGTCATCGTCCATATTGGTGGGTTCAAGAAACAGTGATTTATCCTAACCAATCAATCCCACGTCTCGAGCAGTTTCCTATAACATGTGAAACAGGGCCAGGTAAGAGATCATGGCTAACTATACTGGTATGCAGTTCCCAGACAGTTGTCAGATTTTAAAGACAACATCAACACACAATAGCTGGGTGAATTAAGAGGTAAAACATTAGAGATCCCAATATTTCTGTGAAGTATTGAGACAAAATGATTCAACTGTTCCATGACAACATTCCCTTCATAGTCTTTGCCTGTATTTTGAAAAGATTCTTTCAACTGTGATGTTTCAGTTGTAGACATGGTGAGTCACTATTTGCATGTGACATGAATTTACAAGATGGAATAATGATGGGAAATAAATTCTGTCCATCTGACCAGTGCTAGTGTCAGCATTGGTGGAGGTGCAGCAGATGACAAAGCCCACCCCTTTTGTAAAAAAGTTTTTTTCCCCCCTCAAAACAAGGCTTCAGTAGAGTGGAGAAGGTTGTCTCTCTCACTCTATGGTGATGGTTTATGTGAAAAAGCAAGCGTCTGCTAAGCTCTCATCAAGAAGTAAAGGGACAGTTTGCCCACTCTGATCACACACATCTCTCTTTCTTAGTAGCAAATCAGTAGACATTAAGGAGAATTAAAAAAAAAAATTCTGCATGTCACAGACACAACAGGAAGAGGTCTTGCAGGCATTGTGTTAGACATGGTGGCAGAAAAGTATGGATCGTTACTCTCTAATATTTGCATCTAGTGCTATGATAATGGTGCCAAAGGAATGAAAGCCTACGTTCGGGGGGGAGGGGGATGCTCAGGTGTTCTTTGTATCTTGCTCTCTCCACAACTGGCATCTTGTGTTGATGCATGCTGCAGACAGTTAAGGCCAGGTTCCAGTTTTATTGAATAGCACTCCAAATCAAATCATGGAAGGTATATTGTCCTCTCTCTGGTTTTATATGGAGTATGGTTTCTCTTTATCAGAGTAAGCAAACCAAAATGGAAAACAGGAGTGGTTAAAGAAGAAAAGGTAGAGCCACGGGAGAGGGGCCAAATGGAAGGGGTGTCGTTAGAGAAGAAACGGGCTGAGCCAAAGGGGAAGGGGGGTTATACTCTGTTTCTTAGGACCCACAAAAACCTGGAACCAGGCCCACATGTAACACTGAGGTAACAAATGGGTTGTGCGCACATAGAAATATCTACTGTTGTTCTTGTATCATCATCATCATCATCATCATCATCATCATCATCATCATCATCTTATTTTATAGCCTGCCATTCTCACATTCTCAGGGCTTTTTTTGGAAAAAGAGGTGCCGGAACTCTCAAAAGGGAAATTAAGTTTTCAGTCTGTATGCTAGAAACTCATTAACTTTTAAACAGTTTAAAAAGAATTTTGTCAAAGAGGTTCTGGAACTCCGTTCCTGCATGTTCCCCCAGAAGAAGAGCCCTGCAACTCAAGGCAGATTGCAAAATATGATTAAAACAATACAATCAAACAGCAAAGATCTTTAATGAACAAACAATCCAGTGGGGCTAAGACTGAACGGTCAGTTCTAGCTTTTGAAAGTAAATCAATCAGTTTACAATCAGCAGCACAAAGAAGTTATATTTTCCTGCAAGGTAGATGCCAAGACTGGCAGGGCACAATAGCTGCTTGAAAACTTCTTCTATGGATGACAGAGCGTAGCCCCGATTTCCATGTTTGTCCAGAGTGGCTGCCATATGGAGAAGCCTGCTGATACCAAGGCCCTGTGAACCCAGCTAAATGTAGGTTTGCAGTGCCCTGGTTGACCGTGGACTCTCAACATGGAACAGTCAGTCTAGGCTAACAGTAATGGTAACACAACTTAGCCTGGGGAATGGTTGGAAGGCACATCATGCCAAAGCAAGTTGAGCCTTAGAAGCTTCCAGAAAAACACTTAGGAAACACGTCTGAAAATCTCTAGACTCCTCGGAGAAGGAGTAGGGGTAAAAATGTCACAAATAACATTTAAATGACATTTAAGGCAACGGATATGGCAGGGAGTGGGGGCTTTGATGTACTGTCCCCTTGAGTAAGAGAGAAAACTTCTGCACCATTTTGTCATTTCACAGGAAGCCCCTCAGGACATGCTATGGGATCCTCCTGTGTCTGGTATGTGATGGTGTCAGCAGCCCTCAGCTATAGGTCGAGGCAGAAAGATAAATCGGCCCTTGCTCTGCATAGGTCAGTCTCCTTTCAAAATTCAGAATCTCTGCTTTTAGTGAGTTCATCCATTGGCCAGTTGGTGGGCACTGTCCAAATGCACACAGGGGATGACTTTTAAACTGCTTTTAGGGCTCTTTATTATGGATTGCTTTGGACAATAGCAAAGTGTCTAGCAGGTGTTTGGTTTTCATTTGGTGCGCATGCTGTCTATGGTCACCTCTCTGTCCATTTGTGGAACTTTCCCACGCTTGAGACGACATCTAAGACTTGCCCAAGCCCATCAAAAGTGGCCCAGGGAATGGGAGAATGCCTGTTATCACCATGCCTGCGTTATTTCTCTTCTTCCTGGGTTTTGACATTTGTGGTTTAGCAAGAGCTTGTTTTCCCAGCCTGTTAATTTACTGTCATGGGCCATCTGCATCACCTCTTGAAAGCATAGAAGGCCAGAGAGGATAAAACACAGAACTAGAGCATAAAGTAGACAGAAGAAATGGGGTGCAAAAGACCTGTGGGATGAGGAAAGATATGAGGCCACCAACAGAGCTGTAGAGGTGGGAAGAGACCTGTGTGAGAGGAAATGGAGAGATTGGGGTTGTGATCATCACACACACTAAATAATCCACTTTCAATGCACTTTCAACCTGGATTTTACTGTGTGAACTGGCAAAATCCAATTCCAAAGTGCACTGAAAGTGGATTGTTTTGTGTGTGTTATCACAGTCCAATGGAGTGGAAAGAGAGAGAAGAATAAGAAAACTACCAGAGAAACCTGTGGTGCTATGGGGTGCAACAGGGTTGAGGGAAGAAAGGGGGGGGGAAGAGACAAGGTTGAAGACTCGTCTATGGGGTGGGGAAATGGGGGAAAAGGAGCAATAGAAATGTTGATGAAGAGACCCTATAGCAGAATAGAAAGAGAAGAGTGAGTTGGGGTACGGAATGAAAAAGAGGGGCAATGAGGACCTGGGACTGCAGAGAGGCTTGTGGGGAGGGAGTACAGAAAAAGAACCAGTAACTGAGAGCCTGGGGGCTGAGAGAGAATAGGGGTGTTTCGATAGAGGAGAGCTGAACGAAAAAGGAAGCAGTTTCTAAGTATAGACAATATTACTTTTGTATTACATATGGTTTGATTAGGACAATGCTATATGTTATATTTGTGGGGATTCCCCCCCCTATGTATTTTTGTATTTAATGAAAATGGGATTTTTGAAAAGAAAAACTCGGATGTTGTTTTTAGTTCCCTCCTGTCATCTCTGTCATAGACTTGCCTGGTCTTTCCTATGGAGCATCTTCTGGATTATTCAGATCAGTGTGTGTGTCTCAAGAGTATTTATCGCAACACACTTCCCCCATCAAGTCATCCTTGGAGTACTTGCTGGTAATATAGATTACTTTCTTTCTTCTGAGGCACAGATTTTGAAAAGTATGGAAAAATGGGTTTAAAAAATAGTATTTGAGATTGATCACAGTGAGGAGGCATGCTTAAACTGGCATTTGATGCTGGCAGTTATATAGTATTGTGAAAATTATTTTTAAATTTTTGCTGCATCTTCTCAGGAGCTTATGTTGTGATGCAGAATGTGATATGTTGTGCAAGGAATTTTGGATGGCAGTAAAATCTCAATCAGCCATTGACAAAATGTTGTGTTGTCATGGGATATGGTAATGTACATTATAGCTGTTGGAGGAGTGAATAAAGTTCACAATGGAATGCTTACAAACATTTCAGTATCTGTGAGAAAAGTGAGAGTTCAGCCTTCACACACTTGGCCAAAAGGACAGGAGAAGCTGTGAGGATAAACTAGTGCCTAAAATGCAGATGTCCCCAGAGGAAAGGATAAAAGGATTCCAGTAACAAGATAGCTGCAAGGAGAATATTGAGAATGAGAACCCAAGGGAAAGATAAATTGAAGGAATATGAAACTTCAGGGAAAGAAGAACACATGATGCACAGAAAGCAAAGACTATGAGTTGGATCTAGACTAATGTTTCCACAGGTGCAAAGATTTCCACCTATGAAGTGTGATTTCTGTCGGCAGAGTAAGAAACACAGCAAGGTGTACATTCTGATTAAAGTGTAGATAAAGGTTTATTTAGGAACTAACATACTTGATAGTAAAGCGAAGAGACAGAAATAGTGTTCTAGATACATTACTAGCTGTGAGAGAGTGCAAGACTAAGTGTGGAACTTCTCAGAAGAACGAATAGCAATCTGGAGACAGACAAAGAATGAGACTTAACAGGAGAGAAGGTGCTGACCTCACTATCCTATCTAATTATTTTCTTGCTGCCCCCTTCAGGGTCTTCTCTGCTTCTTTGTACACTGGACATTGCCTATTCCAACAATTTTCCTGCCTTCTCCCTCCCACAGCAGCCCAAAATACCCCCAGATGTTTGTGAGCATACTTGGCTGTCATAAATACACACATGTGTGATCATGGATATAGCCAGCACAAATTCCCACAATCCTGGTGGCATTTTTCCCCATTGAATACCATAAAAAGAACCGCCATCCACTGAAATCTGTGATTTTCCCCATTTCCACATTTCATTCTCTCTAAAAATGCATCAAACTTGGATGATCAGAGTAGCACCCATGTAAGGAATTTGTGCAACCTTGTGTTTCATGATATTTAATCACCAAATGCAGAGGAGTCCATCTTCCATTTGATGTTTAAAAAATCTCACCAACTCTTTTTCTTGAGGGAAAAAATGTAATCCAGGTTTACAGATAAGGCTAGAACTCGGCCTTGGATGAACGAGTACATAGTTGCCTCTTCTAATGAGACCCTTCTCATTCGCAGGCATGCTTGTTGCAGAAGTGTTTGAGCATACCCCGTCCATTCAGACCGCAAGTTTAAAAACATACATCGAGGCAAACGTGTTCCTCTTCTTTTCCGCCCTTGGCTTTTACTTGGTTCTCAAGCTTATTGATATTGATCTGCTGTGGTCTGTTCCCAAGGCGAAGAAATGGTGCACCAACCCAGAGTGGGTCAATATTGATACAACTCCCTTTGCCGGCCTGGTGAGAAATGTAGGCGTCTTCTTTGGACTCGGTCTCGGCATTCATTCTGAAATGTTCGTCATGAGTTGTAAAGTTAAAAGCGGCTACGAGGGGACTTTTAGGATATCCTGTACAGCGGCTTCCTTAGCTATGCTGCAGCTCTATGATTGTATCAAGATACCTACCCACGCCGAGTACTTGTTTTACATCCTCTCCTTCTGTAAAAGTGCAGCTATACCTCTTACTGTGGTGGCTTTGGTCCCGTACTGCATACACGTGCTCATGAAGCAACCAGAAAAGAAAACTTCCACAGAAGGCATGGTCAATGTGGGCTTGGAAAACCTAGGAGCATCGAGATTATACTGTGACTGACGGCTTGAACAGTTATTCTGCATTTCCCATTTGAACTAGGGTTGCTGGTTTCAGCTTGGGAAATCCCTCGAGGGCAGAGCTAGGGGAGGGGAGGGGAGGGAGCTCTGTGGGAATATTCGGCCACATAGTCCACTCTCCTAATCTGGCATTTCATCCAGGAGCAATCTATAGAGCAGTTATAATGCCAGGAGAAATCCAGGCCTCACCTGGAGTCAGGTAACCCTTTTCCGAACAATGGTCAGTGCCATTCTGTCACATATTATGGAAAAGTTTCTCGTGGCAGAAGGATTGATTGGCAAAGTCCTTGGTTTAATTCTGAAATTAGAAGAGGTCATTTCGTAGAAAAAGAGGTGCAGAAAAAGAGGTGCAGGAGCTCATTAGCACAACTCATTAGCACAACTCAATAACTTATTTGCATATGCCACACCCCCTGACATCACCGGAAGTGTGTCAGAAGGCAACACCCACCCCTCAGGCTCCACTGGATTGCTAGCTATTTAGGGGGGACATGCAGATCTGCCCTCACAGAGGAAAGAGAGCTTGTACCTGAATATAACTTGGTCTTAAAGGTGCCACTGGACTGTTTTGGACTGGGGGGCCGGGGGGGGGCTCTGCAGCTTACCTGGCTGCTTCTTGCTCTGACTGAGGGCTGCTGGGAGCAGGGGGTGGGGCTTGTTGCATGTGCCCGCCCCCTGGGCTTTTTACTGCCGGAGCTCCGCTCCTGTGCGCTCCTACAGGAAATGACCCCTGGAAATTAGCAATATTACTATGTGACAGCCTGACATTTTAAATGTGACGGTAGGCTTGGGCATAAGTGTGCTGAGGGAGCTACAGATTTTGGACATTTCCCCCCTCCCCCTTTCCTGCCCATCCACAATTAAAGGTGCTATGTCCACTTGATCCTCTACCCAAGCTCTACTAAATGGAGCTTGTATTCTGGGTGTACAGATGGTTGTTTCTGGCTACTGCTGGAAATGGGTCCCTTCAAGGCTCCAGCAAATTGAACTTGGGTTGCCCGGTCCAGCTTGGGAAATTCCTTGAAGGCGGAGCCTGGGGAGGGCGGAGCTTGGGGAGGGAAGGGAGCTACATGTGGAATGCTCTGTGCTGGATATTTCCCTCTATTATGAGGTAAACTGTAAGTCCCAAGTTTGGGCTGTGAGGTGCAAGAATTTCCATTTTCAGACATTTTTATGGCATTTTGTAGGCTGTATGTGTGCCAAATTTTAGCCTTCTAGGTAGCCTGCAAATTTCTTAACCCTTTGGTATACTTCTTGTCATTCGTTCCCTCTTACAACTTTCTAAGTAGACATTTACAGGTTCCCTGTCAGACCTTTTCCAGTAATCAGAATATCTTTAGTTGTATGTATCTATTTTTGCTTTCTGGGTAACCTAGGTGAGCTTGAAACTTTTGGGGATGCCCTGTGAATTCTCCATTTTGAGGGAGAGGTGTTCAAATGTCAAATGTCTCACTTCCAGATATTTTTCTAGCAATTGGGGTGTCTTGGACTGCACACGTCCCAAATTTCCAGTCTAAAGCTCATCAGAGAGTCATGTAACAATTGTATATATCTAGCCATCTAGATCAGATAGTAATTTGTTAGAAAAATCAGTCTTCATTTTTTCCCCCTGAGAATGAGAAGCATGTGCAATTGCTTTGTCAGTAATTAGTTTTTCTATTTTCTCAGGTTTATCTACAGGGCACATATTTTTTGCACTGATATGTTGCTTGTAATTCCCCCCCTCCAGTATGAATTTCAATATTCTTCCTGTCTTAAATTGTACAAAACTGAGGTCACTTTTGTACATTAAACCTCTACCTTAAATATAGTTGAGACTTCTGAATTATTGGATTATTTAATTTAGCCAGTTTAAACTGCTGAATGCATTCACATCTATGCTTGATGTCTATAGTTTGGTGTAGAGCCAGTTTGGTGTAGTGGTAAGGAGCAGCAGACTCTAATCTGGAAAACCGGGTTTGATTCCCCACTCCTTCACATGCAGCTGCTGGCATGACCTTGGGTCAGTCACAGCTTTCTCAGAGCTGTTCTCTCAAGAGCAGTTCTCTCAGTGCTCTCTCAGCCCCACCTAACTCACAGGGTGTCTGTTGTGGGGAGAGGAAGGGAAGGATATTGTAAACTGCTCTGAGACTCTGAGTGAAGGGCAAGATATAAATCCAATCTCCTCTTCTCCTTCTATATGGAGCAACCATCTAAAAGAAAAAAAAAAACACCCAACCCAACCCATGCATATTTGGGGGTCTGCTTTGTTGTGTCATAGACTTCTGTTAAGTAATAACATTCCTGAGTCTTAGTCATCCTCACAACAACCCTGTGAGGCTAATTGCTTTTATTCTACAAACAAGCGAACTGAAGGATGGAGCTGACCGAGAGAGACCAAAATGTCTTAGGTGGTTGGTAGTTTATGTGATTTTGAGCTCACATTTTGGGCTGAAGTCCCAAATTTCCTCCTTGTGATCTTCTGCCATGCTGTACTCACTTTACATACTAGGAAATATTTCTACTGCCATCTCTTATATACTTGCTATCAACACAAGTTTAGTCTCACTAGGGCAACCAAAAAGATGATGCTCTATCCTTCCTTGATCTTATACTGATAAAAAAGGAGTTTGCATCTATGTATTAGGAATGAAAGCTATGCACCCATCAGACATATTTTAATACCACAATCTGATCTGAAGAGTGTAAAACCTGCAAATATTTACAAGTGCATTTTCATCTATAGGCTAATATTAAAACCCATTGCTTATCTTGCTTTCTTCTGAGCTTTTGCATCTATTTTGATATACTTGCTTAATCCACCCGTATCTGTTTAGGAATTTGCAGACACACCAGAGATAGCTTGAGGGGCACAGAACCTTACACTAACGGTACAATTATTTAATACTAATAGTACAATTCTTTTTTTTACTGAAAATTGCTGTAACATAAAGCTGCATTGTATTCTCTGTTCAAAAATCGGGAGGAGGCGGGGCATGCTGCGTTGGGCGCGGACGAGCGAGCAGGTTTCCCAGCCGCTTCCCGGCTTCGCCTTTCCCATCACGCTCGGTGCAGCAAGCGGGCGGCTGAGCGTGGGGGAAGCCGCTGCTTCCAGAAGCAGCCCCGCCGTTCCGCGGCTCGCCTGCGCCGCCGTGACCCACCCAGGCCGCCTCCTCCTCCTCGCAATCGCGGCCTCCTGTTCCTGGATTTGGGGTTTTTTTTGGGGGGGGGGCTTGTTTGTTTGTTGCCATCAAGTCACAGCTGACTTATGATGACCCCATCGAGTTTTCAAGGCACGAGACATTTAGGGGTGGTTTGCCATTGCTTGCCTCTGCGTCACTACCCTGGTATTCCTCGGAAGTCTCCCATCCAAATATTAACCAGAGCTGACCCTGCTTAACTTTGGAGATCAGGAGAGATCAGGGCCTATCCAGGTCTGGGCAGTTTTTGTCTAAATTTGATCTCTCTCTGATATCTTTAAGACAGGCAGATTAAGCAGGCATTACTAGTTCCTGCTTTCCAGCTGTTTGTACTGGTTCAGTCCAGGTCATATTCTTTAAGCCATCTTTTCTTCAGATGGACAACATGGCTTCTGTCTTCCCTCAGTCTCTTGGATCCTTAACAGTCCAGGGCATATGTGAAAATCTGAATGCTACAAGGGAAAAAGGCTTTTGCTCCATTGGCTACTCATGATTAATGTACCAGCTGTGATCCTCCCCAGCTAGGCAGCCTGAAAGGTAGAAAGAACTTAACCTGGGAAAGCTGTTTTGGGTTAAGCTTTGAAGGTGATAATTAAACACCTCTTCACAAAAGTTTTAATTTCCACACAAGTTACCCATGTGGTGTGTCATTTCATCTGTGTGAGAGAAAAGGTCGAATACCTTTTCCAGCATGGCACCTACCATCTCAGTGTTCATAAGTACCTATAATAAAAAAGTTACCTTTAGCTGTGATTAGTGGGGAGGGGCTATAACTCAATGGTCAGGGATCTGCTATGCATTCAGGAGGTCCCGGGTTCAATCCCTGACATCTCCAGGCTAGCTCGATCTTGTCAGATCTCAGAAGATAAGCAGGGTTGGCCCTGGTTAGTATTTGGATGGGAGACCAACCAGGACGTCCAGGGTTGTGACACAGAGGCAAGCAACGGCCACGCCCAGCAGGAACTCATTAGCATAATAGGCCACACCCAACAGCAGAAACTCATTAGGATTGGCTACATTAGCGGTGCGTGGCCTAACATGCAAAGGAGTCCCTGCTACAAAAAAAAAGGCCCTGGGTTTTGACAACAAACAAGGTAAACAGAATAAGAAGCAAAAGGTGGGTGTGGCTGGATGACCACACTTCTGGTAACATGGGCTAACGAGCTGTGCTGTCAGGGGTGTGGCCTAATATGCTAATGAGTTTCTGCTGCTGCTGGGTGTGGCCTATTATGCTAATGAGTTCCTGCTGGGCTTTTTCTACAAAAAGAGCCCTGGTTAGTGTTATATACTTTAATGTACTTAGAAGGGTGTAACTCTGCTTAGGCTGTGGTGGAAGTGACTTATGGCAACCCCAGAGGGTTCTCAAGGCAAGAGATGTTTGGAGGTGGTTTGTCATCGCCTGCCTCTGCGCAGCGACCCTGGCTTTCCTTGGTGGTCTCCCATCCAAGTGCCGACCAGGGCCAACCCTGCTTAGCTTCTGAGATAGGACAAGATCAGGCTAGGCTGAACCATCCAGGTCAGGGTATATTTATTTATCCATTCATTCATTCACATTTATAGCCCGCCCTTCCCAGACGCGGGCTCACGGTGGGTAACAACATATAATTTATACAAAATATATTAGTTGATGCAATAACATTAAAATTTAAAACATCATCATAAACATTAAAATGGTGGTCACAGCTGATAACGATTTTTGTTTCTGGTTGTGGGAGGTTCCTGGCCATAGCCAGTAGTTGTTAACAGAGTGACAAACACATCAGGGAGGCCATAGATGGGCGTCCGCTGCCTCAACCAAAGGCCT